TTTCCACAGCTCTTGACACATCAGACAAATGCACATACAACAGCACACAGTAACAACATACAATGACAGACAACAGTACACACTCAGGCCAGTTCAGTGAGGCCTATTGTTGAATGTCACTATGGCTGCGGGGATTAGGCTTCTCCCAAAGCGAGCCCTTCTGCACCTCAGGGCTCAGTACCTGCGCCTGGAGGGCAGTAGGGTAAGGTGGTGATTGAGCGGGTGTGTGATGTTCTGTCCTATTAAGGTTGCAATGGCCTTATTGTTTGGTTCTGCAAGGTTGAATGCAGGGAGACAAATAATCCTGACAGTGGTGCTGGTTATGCATCTGAGTCTGTTGTCCAGTGTCACTCCGAGGTGTTGGAAATTGTCAAACATTTCAGCTCTTCAGTTATTAGTGAGAATGGGATGCTGTAGTGAGGTGGGATTAATTATAATTTGCAGTGTTTACCCTCTATTCATTCAGTGAATTATGAGCACTGCTGCTAAAATTTCACACAATTATTAATTTATTGTTTCACCAAGTGCTGGGCTTAGCCCCTCCAAACACACACGGAGCATGGGAGAGACTGCTGAAGTAAAGACAACATCCAGAGAATATTTTCAGTTAAAAGAGATCTGTGCAAATAGCCTTTTAAATGCTCCATTGCTTGGCAATTTGGTCTTGTGTGCTCTGAGTAATTAGGCATGCAGTTAACACAACAGTCATATTTTTAGTTTAATGAAAACTCAACTCCTGGCATTTCCGTGTGGTGTTCTTCACGGCTGTTTTGGAAGAAGGAAATAATGGGAGCAGCGCATGAACTGGCTTTAAAAGTGACGTATTTTCATAAATATGCACAGCTGATCTAATTAATGCCAATGTGGAGAGTGGTTCATGTGGATTTTAAAAGATAACTTACACGTAGTTGGAAAAGTAAGTGATTAATATTTAAAGAAATATAGTGTTACATTGTGAACTGAATTTAATGTAGTGGTCGGTGTTTAATTGGGTTACATTTAAATCACTACAAGAGAAACAGATGTGAAAACAACAATGAAGTAGATTAAATCTTGACTATGAGAGAGAAAAACTGACTTGAAAATGGGCCAGTGTGCAGAGCTCTCGCAGTGGAAACCTCTCTTCTTCTGTCCGGTCAGAATGTCCCAGATGATGATGGCCTGTGGGTCCTCCTTGGTGTCCATCAGTGGACTAAAGGTCACCACATACCTGGAGGACACAACAACCACACATGGAGTTTCAGACAGCTCAGAGACAACACAGTTCATATTAAATTATCCATCATCCTTTATCAGTAAGTACAACTTATCAGCTTAATTGTTTTAAACCAGGACCATCAGTATTTAGATCAAGTAGTTTGTGAAATCAATATGTAGGTAAATAAAAGTATCAGACCCAGTGTCAGCAGATGTGCAATATCAAATGACTACAACTGGGGACTATAAAACTCTGCTTCCTTAAAAAGCAAAAAATGAAATCACTATTATGTTAATCTAGTTGAAAATCTACATTTCTCTCTAAAGTATGAACCATACTGATCAAATTTTACAGGAAAGGAACAGGAAAACTTAAAATCAAATTGAAAAATGTCAAAAATTGTACAGTTTTTAATGGTTTGCCAACTTAATAGTGCCAGTAAGTGAGAGGGAGACTGTGTTTCTGTGCATTTCTTCTTTGGATGCCACAGATATTGTCACATTTTGCCACATTCTATAATTACAGCTGTATTCTAACAGCTGCATCAGTCTGACATCATCAAACAGTGCATCCATTCACATCACTCAATAACGCTTGAAGCTAATGCTTATACACGCTTCATCCAATAATGACTAATGCTACGAAGGTGTCAATTAGTACTGCTAAACAGAAATATTGATTACCTCTCACATGGTGAGAAGTCGATGAGGGACACGCCCTGATGGCTGAACCTCTGGATCTGTTTGAACTTCTCGCCGCCCCACAGTGCAATGCCCCGCTGATGGAAGGTGGCCAGGTAGGTGCCTTTAGGAGACCAGCGGACATACGTCTCTGTCCAGCGCTGAAATCAAGACACACAAAAAAATTTATAGATTAGTCTGTAAGCCAAACACTATTGTTGAATGACGTTTAACATGACCCCAATTAACCCTTTGTTTCTACTTACTGCTCTCTCTTCAGCTGTGATTGGTTCTTTAGCATCGTTAGAGAAAATGGCGGTCCTCTCTCCAGCTTCGTAGATCACACTGTACTGATCACGGCAGTCTGGGTCCTCAATCCAATGGCGCATATTACCCTGAACAGACAGACATTTTGGCATATTAATTTGTTTTAAAGGGTTAAATAGGGGCATAACTTCACATTTTTATGAGGAGTGCAAAAAAGCCTACATTATAAACTACCTATGATCAGTAAAAGTAGTTGCTGAAAAAAAAAACCCCAACTCACAAAATCTTTGAATGGCTGCTTCTCTGGAGTTTCCCACTCATCACTGATGTTCATGTACCTGGAGAAATAAGCCAACAGGATTAATCTCCTTGTCTCACACACATTTGCCTTCACATTTGCTGCATTCCTCATCAGACACGGCCCACTTACTTGTCAAAGTCAGTGAAGAGGTTCACCCTGAATGTATGCTGTTTGTCGAGTTTATATCCATCTGCGTTCTTAACTGCCTCTAGGGCCTGGGTGGGACCAGCATACTCCAAGAAGATGTACCTGCATGAGATACTGGTCTGTTTAACATTTTATATTAAACATTATAGCAAGTGTAATGCCATAACAGAGTACAGAGCAAATTACATACCCTTTGGTCAAGCCATCAGCCTCTGGATAGAATTCAGTGGTGATCTTGCCGAACTTGGAGAAAATCTTGTGTATGACGTTCTTGAGTTTCTCCAAGCGCTCCGGGCCCACCTGAGGGACATTGTCCACCACCACCACCGAGTCTATGCCGTCAGCCTCCTGAGGTTTCTCCCTCAGGATGTCATCCAGGAGCTCTGAAGGGAACAGAAAGACGGTGGAAAGATAGAAGAGAGAAACAGAACTGTTAGTCACTTATTTAATCTGTCTGTGTGAGCCTGGGCTTCCAAATACATTTTCGTGCACTGACAGCTCTCAATTTAAACTGTTATGAGACCACTGGCTTCATTTTTTGAGATCATGGGTGTAACTGTCAGTACATTTTTTGCCTTTATTAGACAGCAGCAGAGTAAAAGACACACGGGGAAACATGGGAAGAGGAAGGAGAGGGTACGTGCAGCAAAAATCATCAGATTGAATTGATTATTATGAGCCCCACCAAAGATGCCACCACAACATATCACTGGTGGGACTTCCATATTTATCAATAGTCTCAGTTGGCAGGATGTAAAGGGCAGTATAGTACAAAAATAGTCCAAGATAGTCTAAAATTATCTGACCTATGGTGTAGCCTACTACACTCTGTTGCCAGTTCAATAGGTACACCAAGTTTAAATTATTACAGTGAGTTCTCAAACTGAGGAGTGGGCTCATCTGTAGGGGCACAGAGCCACTGCAGGTGGGGCGTGGATGACCAGGAGAAAAATATGTAGTGAAACAAAGTTGAATGAATACACAAAACAAGGGTTTGCTGCTGCTGCTATCATGCTGACATTTATTTCACTAAAATTCAATGTGGATCCTTCTTTTGTTAGTTGTATCACCAATTATTGTCAATGACTGATTAAAAAAATAGAAGTGACAGAAAACGTTTGACAATTGCTGAACTAATGCAATCTAAAGATATAGAGAAATATCAATTGAACTTTATGATTATCTGAAGCTGGAGGTTGTAGTTCGTGATGCTGCTCATACTATTTCTTCATACTAAGAAGTTTTTCTGGTATTTAGTCTATCCTCACTGATGTAGATGATGTGGGCAAAATATATTATCATCACCACAAGCTACAGACTCCAAAAGAACCATAAAACCATGTGTGACCAAATACTGAACATTACACACTTCACATGGGGACATTTTAATGCAGGGCTGTTATATTAGACTTTACTAATTTCAGCTAGGTGACCTTAAACACTGTATTTCAGTGTTGTTCGTTTCGCTGGTTTGTCAATTGTTCACGTTTCATCTGCAGACCTGAGGGGCATTATGGATCAGACCACACCACCCTGCGTTGGGATTATCGTTACACTGATGTGAAAGGTAGTTTATGTTACCAGCTGATTCAGGCAAACCAGAGTGCAGGTTCGCAGTGATGGTCTTGGCCTTCATTATCCATGCAGACAGCTATTGCAAAATGTTCTTCATTTGTCAACTTCGCACCCGGTTTCGGGTTTTCAACTGACAGCGACAAGGCCACAGTGAGTGTTAGTCTGGGGTCTGGGTGAGGTTTTCAATAGGCGTGAGATTACACTGAGATAACTTCGTTTAACATTAGCAGATGTTGGGCATATGTTTAAGGAAAATGGCGATGTAACTGTTTAATTCCTAATTATCAGACATTTACATTTTGATACTGAAGCCCGGAGGCTACCAGACAAGCTAACTAGCTTTGTGGCATCTGTTGCCCCATTAATACGGCTGTTAGCTAACTGTTAGCAACAGGCCGGAAAGCCGGCGCGTTTCCTGCTGCTGCTCACCCTCATCTTCGATGTCATCCACGAAGTCCTCCGGGTCGCTGAAGGAGGGCTCCTCTTCCTCATACTCTGGGTCGTCCACCATATCCACCGTGTCTTGCATTTATCAGCTACTACGAGACGGATTTCTCGCCACAATGGAGCAGAATGACATAAATTAAGAGGCTGACGGTCCTCGGCCGGTGCAGCACCATGTGCGATTATGCGAAAATGGACGATGTGACGGAAACGGAACTGGCTCGGAGGCCAGGGCGCGCTGCGGGGAAAAATTAGAGTTGTAAAACATAGTGACCGGCGCTGCGCGGCGCCTGCTGTTGTAATGTCACCTATCAGTAAATATACAGATCAGTAAAAAGTGCAGGTGCTCCTGTTACGACGCTCATATTTTACACTGAAAGAAGCGGAAAGCCACGCACCGGTAGATCCGAAACTATTTCCCGCGAGATGGATGTTTAGCAAAACTACAAGGAAAAACTACATTTTGCTATTTAAGCTAGCTGCTCCTTTTCAGTCAATACTACATTACAAAGCTTCTAGCTGTATTTCCATATATGTACGTCGACGTTAGCTATGTGTGCTAAAGTGTAACTGTTAGCTGTAAAGTTATTAAGGCTCATTAACATTAACACACACACATACGCTAGTACCATGGACAGAGAGTGTGTGTCGCTGCTGCCCAGTGTGTGTGAGGTGCTGGCGGACTCAGGGAGGTCTCTGCCCGATGACACCAGCCTGGAGAAACTGGTGGACTGGTTCACAGGGCTCACCGAGGCTGGTTAGTACTGGAGTTGGTGGGATAGTTTGGTTTTCTGTGATTGTTCCTACCTTCTGCTCTTCCTGGTTTCATCTCTGTCTGACCTCTTAAGATGGAGCCTTTAGGTGTTTTAGATACTTCTCTGTGGATTACTATAGGTAGATGTGAGGTGAGCTGCAGACAATTAAGTTACTTTACACCCAGGTAACTATGGATATAAGGCTGAGCAAAGTGAGCCTTGACCTTGAGGGTCCCCAAAGTTTAAAACCTCACAGTGTGGCAATTAATTTGTGGTAACTTGATTACATTTTGTTTGAGAACATGCGCCACCAAATAACACCACGGTTTTGATCTACAGGGTATAATTTATTTTGATTCATAGATAAATCTTTTGTTTAGTCTCCAGCATGTCATAAAATATTGTCACAGCCCAGCTCTTAACTGGGCCAAAAAGGTGAGACACACAGATAAACTAAATAATAAACTATTTTTATTTACCACAAAATATTCAAAACAAACAAACACCATAAAACTTCAATTAGTAGTCCGGGCCATTATTTGCTTTAATCACTGAAATCAACAGGCCTATATTTGGGACAGGCCTTTAATTCCTTTCAAACAAAACTGTTGCTCAGCAAAGATGGGAAATACAATCAAGTTGTTTATTTAAACCAGTATGAATATTGCTTGTTTAAATATTAGGCTTCATATAACATATAAGTTATCAATCATTAATTCGTTCTAGCTCCACCAGAGTTATGGTACTCAGGGATTACAGCACCCAGCATACCAACACAACACCACTTTATCCTTTTAAAACAATACTCACAACTTGGATTCATTTTGATCAAAAACCCTTTTCATTCTTTTGATCTGAGGACCCTTACGGACTAAAGGAATATGAATAATTTACAGGGTAATCGAGGAATAGACACATAATTTTAGGTAGCCAACAACCTGGTTTTATACATTTGAAGAACTGCTACTACTTGTACAAAAAAAATGAGCTGCTTGGCAACCACATCAGGTGTTTAATTGAGACAGGCGATTATTTGTCTAAATGTGTAGCCACAACAGGCTAGTAAAAGGGGACTGGGTATTTAATTAGAATTAGGCTTTTAATTGACGTTTTACAGTAGATTGTAGTAATCTGTAAAGTCAGTACAGCATGAACAGACAAGTAAAAATGTGCTGCATGGATGGTCCGCTGTGAAAACAAAGATGAAGAAATAAAAGCCACAGCACTGAGGGGATGAGAGGAAATCTGCCCACAGGACTGACTGCTGCTTTTATATGCATGTGGCACACTGGTCCCAGTTGTGTCCTATGCTACTGATTAACCTCCAACAGGTCTGCAGTTCTGGAGACAGGAAGCACAGTAACAGCATAATGAACCAAAAAGGGGCTGTCACAACAGTAAAAAAAATGCCACAGTTTACCAGAGTCCAAGGTGATACAGTAATTGTTTTCCAACAGTCCAAAACATAAAGAAATTCAGTATAATATCACATTGGACGAAGAAAAGCAGCAAATGGTCACATTTAAGAGGCTTGGAAAAAAAGGAATATTTATCATTTTTGCTTAGAATCTGAGTCAAATGATTGTAGCTGCCAATTCATTTTTTGTCAGTAGACTAATTGATGAAACTGCATATTGTTTCTGCACTAAACTGAATTGCTAAGGGCCTTCATTGTCTAGGGGAGGGGCCCTGTGTCTTTTGATATCTTTATTATGTGTCTTGATATAATACTTTAATTGTGTGTCTTCCTAAATAAGTACCACTGTCTCATGTTGACCTTTTCCCCTGATGAAGGTGTATCTCTGCCGGAGGCCTGCCCATGTCTGCTTGAATTCATATCCACTGTGGTTCGCAACACAGCTTCAGACCCCGGTGTCCTCTCCTTCTCTCTCAGGCTCACCGGACTGATGGCTGCCACTCAGGACGACTTCAAAATGCTTCAGGTAGAGTTAACAACACTTTGTACTTTTACTAAATTGTTACGAACAATTTATGACTCTGGTGATGTCCCCCCTGCAGGAACACTCAATTCTGAACCAGGTCTTCAACCTTCAGCACTGGCAGGATGCTGGTCTCTGGGAGGATCCATGTTTACGAATCGGCTGGATCCAGGGCTTAAGGAGCATGCTGCAGCACCCTAAGGCTCTCAGTTTTTTTGTACAATCAGGTGACTCTTCATGCAGGAAATGAGACCATCTCTCCTAATATGTAATATATTATAAAGGACAATTTGATGAGAGGGAGACAGGCAATATTTAGGAATAAAGACTAAGAATTTAACCAATTGGTAACTAAAATCTGTCTTCCTCACTCCAGATTTCATTGGACCGCTCCTACAACTCCAGACAGACACCAGTCTATTCGTCGCCTCAGCTGCCAATCAAATGCTCGCCCACATCCTGCTCTTCTTTCAGCCAGTCTCCTCTGCAGGATGTAACGGCGTAGCTAAGAAAGAAGAAGAAGAAGACAGGAGGACACATGTCTCCATCACAGACTCAGAAGACCCAGCCCTCTCCCTGGAAACCAGCGCAGAGTACACCACTGTTGTCACGGTAATGTCAGAGTACCTCAAGGAGTCACTGGTTCCCCCAGAAAACACAAAGCTCCATCGGAGTCTGCAGATCCTCAAACTGCTGGCCCTGCTCCTGGCTCAGGCAGGGCCTCCTCTGCGGGACGAGCTGCTCCAGACAGTCGCAGACTCTCTGCAGGAACTGGTGACAGCAGGCTGCAGTCAGCTCACTCTGCCTCTGATGGACGTCATTCTGGCTGCATGCAGGTAGACTGGCTCTCTCATATGAACGCAAACACAGTGTAACATGGGAAAATTCAGTTTAAAGACTTGAATTTATATGTTTTGTGCAAGAAGAGAAATTGAAGTTCGTTTGATATTGTCTGCCATCACTGCAACACAGCACAGTGAGAAGTGTTCACACATTCAAACCTCTGTCTGTGAGCTTCTGTAAAGCCTGCTAAATGTCAGTGCTGTAACAGTAATTAACCTTTATCAATGTCTCAGACTATGACATGTTAGGTCCTTAAATTCGAGGGGAACTCTGTAAAAAGCAAACATATGATGGAATAAAATAGATCTGAATCTGTAAGTGCCCCCTCAGACTGACATCTGTAACTTTATGGCACACTTTGCAATTTTCCCAGCTCACATAGGTGACTGTCACACACCAGTAGTGCTGATTTCAACGCTATTATTGTATTTAACCTTTATTTAACCAGAATAACCTCTTGAGATTAAAAGGAGGAGGGTTTTCAAGACGGTCCTGGCCAAGACAGGCAGCAATATAAGTTACAGACAGACAACATAGAACAAAATACAGAATAAAAATGTACAGCTCTAACACAAGCATTATAAAACTCAAAGTAAGGTTACTACAAAGAAAAGCCAAAAAGTATGATAATGCCTAAGTCAAGAAGTCAACCATAAAAATGCAAAAAAGGGCAACTACAAATAATTACAAAGACCAGCTAAGATAACGCCATGACGTTGGCATATAGTATGCATTCATTATAAATACTGAGTTAAAGGAATAGTTCAGAGAAGCTGAAACGACTCCCCCCACTTGTACACTCACAGAGCACCTGCTGCATAAATGTAACATAAAAAGAACAAGGGGATATTGCATTGTGATGACAGTGTAGAGCTGAAACAATCAGTCAGTTAGAATTGGAAGCAGTTTTATTGCCAAGTAGGTTTTCACATACACAGAATTTGCTTTGGTATTTTTGTGCATAATGGTCACAATAAACAATAAGAGAGAAGAAAAACAAGCACTGCTAAAAGTCAAGAATCAGTTAATCGGAAGAAAATTATTTACAACATATGACACTCTTTACAATGAGAGGATTCAGTGTTCAACAGTGTCCATGTTTGTCTTCAGCAGCTCAGGCACAGACCAACGCGTCGCCCGTCTTCTGTCGTCCATGTTGAACATTAACAAACCCGCTGACCTCATGCACGCTGCAGCTGCTTTTCTTCGCAGAGGTCACCAGTAAGCATCTGATCACAACTTCACACTCGCATACAGAATGTGGCTTCAGCATCACCAATATGAGAAGTGTAGTTTGGTTTTTGGCACCGAGTTATACAAGAAAACCAATATTTATTCACCTATGGGTGCTGCTTTCTTTTTCCTCTGTGTTTCTCTCCAGTGATGCAGTCCACACAGCCCAGGCAGTAAGAATACTACTGCTACCCCTGGACATTATAACTGGTCAGACTCTACTGGGCACAAACACCACTGGTAAAACACACAGGAACACTCTATAATAAAGAAAGAAAACAGTCTGTAGTGTCTTTATAACTAAATATGTTTTTGTTCCTGCAGCAGACGAGCATCAGTTAATGGCGGAGCAGATGAAGAGTAAAACCTCCTGTATCTCTGTGACATGTGTCTGCCTGACAAACACACCACGGATCACACTCCTGGTGAGGCTATAAGGACAAAACAGAGGACAAGAAACTATATCCTTTATGTGAAGCAGACTAACGTCGCTGTCTGTCTCTCTCTGTCTTTTGTCCTCAGCCTTCCAGCGTCCTCCCCTGTCCTCCACAGCTAATTGTCACTGCAGTTTTATCATTGTTAAGAATCTGCAGTGGCGTCTCTTTCTCCTCATCCTCTGGTTTCAGTGAGGTTTGCAGGAATGTAATCGGCAGTGGCAAAGTTCAGAAGTGTGCCCTAGAGGCTCTGACGGCTCTCAGCAGCAGCCCAGGTAATGCTGTGTGTTTATGTGGGGTGATCCAAATAGAAAAATGTTCTCCTCTCTTTTACCAACCACTTTTACGTCAGTGTGAGGGAAAACTTTATTGGAGAGGAAGCCACAGTGGCAACAGAGTTTGAAGGGGACCTATTATGCTCTTTTTCAGGTTCATACTTGTACTTTGGGTTTCTACCAGAACATGTTTACATGCTACACTGGTCAACAAAGACTTTATTTTCCTCATGCCATCTGAGCTGGAACTCCTCTATTTAATCTCTGTCTGAAATGCTCCATTTTAGCGCCTGTCTCCTTAAGCATCCCTTGCAAAAAGTCCAGTCTGCTCTGACTGGTCAGCATTTAAGGGTCTTCTGTATCTTAACGTCTCTGCACCGCCATTAAAGCTGGGAAATGACTGTAACAGAGTATAGCTGCACTTTCTACTGTGGGAAATCAACAGTAAACTTTTCTAAGTGTGACTGGACATGTTCAAGCAGGAGTATGATCCAATATTAGGGAAAATTTAAAACATTAGCAACCAAATTTACACATTTCCCAGCATATGGCTTCATGTTGCCGTGGAGCTATGGAGCAGATGACCATATAAAGAAATCTGTCACGACCTGTTTGTCTTCAACGTAGAAAAAAAAAAATTTGGAAACTGAGTAATACTGGAAGCATAAAGCTGAACAGTACAGATGATCATAAGTCATGTTCTCAGCACTGAGAAGCTGAATCTCAAATAAAATAACTTAACAATTTGTAGGATTCTCCAACAAAACAGAGTAAAGTAAGATAAAATATCATCATATACTGACACAAAAACAAATGCGACAAAACTTTATGATATACAATATGTGTTCAGTGTGTGAAAGTGATGTCAAGGTGAAAGTATTTAGCACGTATCCTCCATCTTGTGTGTTTCAGGAGCGAAGGAGAAAGTCAGTGAGGTGTTCACAGCTCTGATACAGTATCTGGACAATCCTGACTCTGACCCCACTGTAAGTTGTGTTTCCTGTTAATGCATATTTGAATACAACTTATTTTGTCACTGACTTTCAACTACAACTGGAGAGCAGTGACTTAGCTCACTAAATGTCTTTACCATACGTGACTGGTGCACTTCTAGCTGGTGTTGGTTCGATGACAAAGATGCCGTGACACCCGGATCTCTTTATGGATTACCTGAGTTTATTCGGACAGACACCCAGGGACACAGAACCTCCATGTTAATCACACTGCCCACTCTAGCTCTTACACACATAAATCATACACAACAGAAGTAAGCTTCATTTGCCACAACTTAACCCAGCAGCACACACTCTAAAACAACTGTTTAAGTGTCAGCTTGTTGAAATCAATATATAAACAGGTTGTGACATACATTATAACATTATGGGGAAGGAAAATATAAACAGTTAATGGCTGTTTGTCTGGTTACATGAGCGTCTCTAACCACTGGAGAACTCCTCCACACTGACTGCTATCTGAATTCATAAAGTCACTGTGAGATGTAGTCTCAGCCTCAGTCTCTTAGTATGTGGGTTACAAACTTATGCTTGAAGGATCTGTCTCACGTCGTTTTCTATCATTGTAATGACTCTGTCTGTGTTTGTTAGGTACTTCACAAGTCCTACCAGGTCTTAGTAAAGTGGATGAGTGTGTGCACAGACCTCTCCTTTATTACAGACCAGCTCAGACAAGGTAATGTGTCACCAGCAGCCTCCTCACTGAAGCTCATAAATATTTGTGGCTATACACAGGAATGTGTTACTGAAATTATGTTTCCATGTATTAGATTTTGTTGAGGTAGTGAGGAAGCGTGTGTGTGACATGCGTTGGGAGGTGAGAGACTCAACGGTGGAGTTTCTGGGTCACCTGGCAGGTGTGCCGGTTCCCCCGAAATCAGCCAAGGAGGAGGAGGAGGTGTGTGACGTGTCTGACGCTCTGCTGGGCAGCTGCTGTACCACTCCTCTACTGAGGGAGGCACTCCAGGATACAGAGAGTTATGTGAGAGCCAGCGCCATCTCTGCACTGGCAAAGACACTGAGACACAGCTGGCAGCAGGGGGCAGCACTCACTCAGGAGGAGGTAGGCAGAAAAAGATTTACATTTGGCTCTGATGGGGATGAACTGTGGTGTGGTGGGCATGTATCAGATGTTGGTCCTTCTTCTATCCATCCAATCAGTCATGAGTTTGGATGTTTTAACAGAAGCTTCTACCTCACTTTTCTGCCACATTACAGTATCGTAATATAAACTTTTATTATTTTATCTTATTGTAAAGTGAGCCTTAATGTTGATCCTACCTTGTCTTCTGTTCTAGTCATGCCCATCTTTCCACACATACTGGGTTGTCATAACCTTCGCCTTCCACCTTGCCCCCATTTCTAGAATAATCAGAAGCAGAACTTCTCATTCATGCATTCATCTCATCCAGACTGGACAACTTATTGCACTCTTCTCAGGCCTTCCTCTCTGTAGATTTACAAGAACACCAACTAGCCCAAAATGCAGCCACCAGGATCCTTACTAAACCACATTTAAACACGTAGTACTGATTCTGCCCTTGCATCACTTTTTATCTTGTGTTTTGTAGTTAGTTTGTTCACACCTTAAATTTACCCATGTACGCTCAGATCACTGAGTAGATGGAAGATTTATAGTGATCTATTGGTGGCAGAGCACATTCTTATCTTACCCAATCAGAGGCAAACACTGTTGAGACTTTTCTCTTCGCTCTTATAATGGTTTTTGTCCTTTATTTACAGTCTTCTCTGTAAATAAGCAGTGGAAACTCATTTATTGTTTGCACATATATTTGAGTATTTGTATAGTTAGCATTGTTATGTGTCTCTTTCTGTAATAGTCTTCTCTATTATTTTGTGATCTGTATTTACACTCAAAATAACTTCAGTGTTATAAGCTAAATACCAGTAGATAAATACCTCTGTACATGGAAAGATAAAGACAAAGTAATAGGGATTAAAAAAATAAGTAAAAAAAGACTTAAAGGTCCAGTGTGTAGGATTTAGCGGCATCTGTTGGCAGGAATGGTATATAATATTCATAACTATGTTTTCATTTGTTTATAATCACCTCTCTCATGGAGTCCGCCATGTTGTTTCTACAGTCGCACAGAATGGACAAACCGAACACTGGCTCTAGATAGGGCCATTCAACGCTAGATGTCCCCCGCACACTATACCTTTAATTAAATCAATAAATAAATAATAAAAAAATATATAATAAATAAATAAAAAACTAAATAAAAAAGTGATATAAATAAATTAATGACAACAATAAAAATAAAATGAATTAAACAATGAAAATAAAGATATAAATGAAATAAAATTAAGAGATGTTATCAGTGATACAGACCCGACTCTTATTAATAAACGTGTGTCTTCCCAGACTGAAATCGTGGGTCGGCTGCTTGAGATCCTCTCCCAGGACACAGAGGGATTCCCCAGGAGGGCCGTTGTGCAATACTTCATCACCTGGTTCTCTGCCCACGCCTCACACTCGGCTCCATCGTCGCCATCCTCCGCCTCTCTCCTGATGCAGTGTGTGCGCTCCATCCTCTCACAAGGGAGCGCCGATCTGGACTGGGAGGTCAAAGTTCACACCCTGGAACTGGCCGAGCTGCTGCTGGACAAAGCCTTTTCAGGTCACCGGGGTTACAGGAATGGCTCAGACGTAAATCGTGCCCCGCCGCACCCCTATGGTGTGATTTCTGAGCAGACTTACACACTTCACTCTCACACTGGTACACACACGGAGGGAGTGGAATCAGATTTGGCCAGTGTGGTCGAGCAGGGAGTCGTCTCAGCGTTGTTGAGCGGTCTGGTTGACTGTGATAGACCTGTTGCTCTGAAGGCCTGCCGACTGTTGATAATACTCAGAGACACAGTCTGCCCTCTGTCGCTAGGGGCCCTGGATGCAACTGCTGCCATGGCAACAGTGTCCTGTGAGCTGCCTGGCTGGGGCTGGGGGCACGAGATCAGACGGATACTGGGGATGAAGGAAAGCGATCGGGCCACAGAGGCGGACACCGCAGCACAGAGTTGTTTCAATGGAGCAGATGAGGGAGGTGACGGTTTGACTGTGAGTGTGTGTGAGACGTTGAGGTCTCTGGGTTTAGACAAGAGGCTGGACGTCCTGACTCAAAGCAGCGACCACATCCATAACTCCCCCCTGTCTCTGCTGCAGGACATACTGACTGCGAGTGCTGCTCACACACATCCAGACACACAGCAGGGGCAAGAGGTCATAGTGGACTGTTACTGACGCACATGCATACACATGCTGCCTTATGGTGGTTTGATATCAGTAATTAACAACACACTCTTAACTCAGGGTGCCTTTGCCTCCATGATTTTGTGATATTTTGGGTAATCTAGCAAATAAAAGAATCATCCTTATTTTTACTGTTTTATACCTGTGTACTGTCTCCATATCGATATAGATCTCAGGCTCAGCAATTTCTATATGTCAGCAATTTCACATAAAAAATTTGGATGAACACTATATTGACCTTTTATTGACCATCAATTAATGAGCCATCTGGTTGTGAAATTTCTTAACATTTAATATTATACTTCCATTAAATACTGTGCAAGAAGCTGTTGATCTTTGTTGGCTATTTTCCTGATTTTTAAGATGCATTGATACAGTGCAATAACGCTTGTCTTTACACCCACTCACCAATCAGAGTTCTGCACAGGCCTAAGACTGAGAGCTGATCAGACCTGGACCGGTGTCTTTACAACCCGACCTGACTGATACTGTCAAAATTTGTATCTATGCTTCATTTCATCCATTACTCATCTTTAGCTCAGCAGGATTCAACTCGTGCCTCCTTTGTGCGTCCACACATGGGTGCAGATGATTAGGACAGTCACATGTTGTCCCAGGGGCTGTGCAGTGAAAGCAGCACACGAGACAGCTGTATTGATTCAAATTGAAAATTTGCCTGAAAAAACACCAAAAAACACTCTTTAAACATGTTCTGTGTAGATTTGTCTGTGAAGGAGAAGAAAGAGAAATGAAGACAAACACACATTGTTGGGTTTGTGTCTGGCAGCAGAACTCACTGAACTCATTCTCATATTAACATGTCCTCAATGTTGGAATACAGTTAGGTACATTTACTCATGTGCTGTTCTAATGTAGTTTTGAGGCACTTGTACTTTACTTGAGTATTTTTATTTTATGCTACCTTACACTTCTACTGCCTTACATTTTAGAGGGAAATATTGTATTTTTACTCCACTACATTTATTTGATAACTTCAGTTACTAGTTGTTTTGCATATTAGGATTACTAATACAAAGTATAAACAACAAACTTCAAAATCAAATCTTCGCCAAGTCATGGCGTCGCACCAGCCGCAACACTGATCAGTGACTTGAAATAAAGGTCGGCTTGGGACATAAAGTGGAGGGTCCAATGGCCCCTTCTGTGCTTCCCACCACCCTACTACTTGCCCCCTTGATCAGACCACAACCACCTTTGAGGTCAACCTTCATTGTGATCCCAACTACACACCTGTGCAGTTTCATGACTGCATCTTGCAGTCGTAATGCTATCATGCTGACAGAATCTGTCCACAGACTCAAAACCACTTCTGTGGCAGTCTTTGGAGAAAAGTTGCCACCAGGACCACATTTTACCATGATGACACATATAGGTGTAGATTTTGGGGGGTGAAGGGGGAACCGCCCCTCAAGCATGGAAGTAGCAGGGAACTTTTAGTTCGACAAAGTGACTGAAAGCAACCCATAGAAACAACAACGGCTCCGCTAAAGAAGGTGGTGGCAGCATGCAACCTCAAAAGCAATGGCTGCAATCTGCCATCAAATAAGATGAAGTAACTCTTTATATTTTACTCTCTTTATATGTAGTTATTTCAGAGCCCAGTCCGACAACTTCATCACATTCAAAGGGCTTATAGCCTCAGCTTTCCAGGCCTTCTGTAGGACATAGTTACAGCAGAAAGTAACACAAAAGTTTGTGACAGTGTGTAACACAGAAGCCAAAATGGACTGATGAAGTAAATATAGGTATTAACGTAAAAAAAAACCTAACATAAAAAAGAAACTAAACTCCGTATATGAACCAGAATGTTGGGGTGTGCCTTCATGATATTCTAATTGTTTTAGAAATAAGGATAAAAAAATCAATTAAAAATAAAGTAAAATAACTCAAAAGGACATAAATCCACCTTAAACAAACAAAGGACAAACAGATTTTATATTCACCATCCAGTTTTCCTATCTTTTCAAAAACTTGTCCCATTGCAGTCTAATAGAAAAAGTAACCCTTTCCATCCTAAAAATGTGTAATGTCAATCCAGTCATCCACTGTTGGTATTGCCAGCTGTAGCCACTGTCTGGTAATGGCTTTACTGCTAGCCAAGCAACTCTGTGCAGTTAAATAAGGAAGTAATACGATATTTCCACCATAAATTGATGCAGAGAAGACACAAATTGGTGCAGGAATGTTGTAAATTAAGTGCTAGACCCTCAAAATATTGAGGGGCAGGACCCCCAGATCAGCAAATGTTAAAAAAAACCAAAACAACTATACCCCTGATGACACAAGCACACTCATGAGGTGCATACAGCATCAACCCTGCTGTCACAGCTGGTTATTAATCATGATGTGCAGTATTATCATGGATTAATCTACCTAGCTGTATGTAAAGTAATCAGAATCAGCTCCACCTTTACCAGCTGTACCATTAAAGTGATGAACACAACAATCCAATAATATATATTATTCTGAAAGGGGCCATGTTGCATAATGAGTACTTTTACTTTCTAATACTTTTATACTTAAGTAAAATTTTGAATGCAGGACTTTTACTTGTCACAGTGTATTTCTACACTGCTTCTTTTACAGCTCTGTACTCCGGTCCACAAATAAATTGTTGTAAATTATATATGCAGATGAATCTGTGAAATATGTGTAATTTATTTGGTCCAACATCTACTGACAGATGAGCAACCACATCCCCCTTTGCTTCCTCTAAATCTGTGCTGTTGAATTATTTACCTGTGCTATAATTAGACTTTTTCCATTTAGTTGCCAGTACTCTTAAGAAGAACCTTTTTTGCAAGTATAATTCAATTTTAATCTCTGAATCCTGCTCTTCTTAATTGCTGTAGCTGGTGAGAAACATTTTTTATATACATACACTGCTGTAGCTGACACCCTTTTCACTTGGTGGTGAGCCTCTGTCGCTTTTATCATGTCAGATCATAATTTAAATTATGTGTGAGTCAGCTGGAGGCTCTTGGTTAATCTTTGCAAAGGCTTGTTATCATCATAAACACTTGAGGTCATCATCATGCTCATTCGCTCCCCTGCTCTCTCGCTTTCCACCCACTGTCACTGATTTCATCCCGTGGAAACGCTTCATTAACACCCCAGAGTTTAAAGTGTGTAGACATCAGAGATGGAGATGGAGATGGAGCAGTCGCCACCTCCACGTGTTCACACACACTCTCTCAACTCAGTCACATGGAGGAAAGAGGGACACACGCGCAGAGAAAACTCTCCTCATTAACTAATGAGCAGGATGTTAGCAACCGCCTACACACACACACACGCATACACACACACACACACTGATTATCTCATCCTGTAATAGGGTGTCATCGTCCTGCCGCGCTCTAATCACACAGCTGTATTCTCTCTCTCTTCATTCATGAGGTGAAACTATTTTGGTGGCCGACTCAACTCTTGTGTTCAGGATGGAGGCGGTGGCTCTTTTCTCTTTCGCAGCATCAGAACCAGACGAGATCAGTTTCCAGAAAGGGGACATTATCAAGGTAAGTGTGGGTGTATTGATCCTTCAGATGTTTTGAAAGTTATCTGAAAGACTACATGTTCACACAGTAAGAATAATTGCACATGTGTGTTATAGGTGACAGAAATGGAGGATGATTCTTGCTGGGTCACAGCAGAGATCCAGGGGAAGCGTGGCTACGTGCCAGAGAACTACATTTCACTCCTTCCTTATCCGTAAAAAATTATTTGTACACACATTTGAACAACAAATTAATGTAAGATAGAAAGCTGACATTATTTCCTGCAAGTATAGATGTGGATTGTTTTAACTACCATCACTGACATCAGCAGTTCCCAAATGTTTTGTGTACTTGTGACCCCTCAGTGCAGGTTGTGATTGTCATGTTCAACCAAAAAGTGACTTTACGTTGCATTTTCAAGGCCTGAATAAGTGAAATTATTCATTATTTTACAAGAGAAGAAGCAAAAACTGGAGAAAAATGTGGAAAAAATAAACATAATGCGCCTTTTGGGGTCTTGATCTCCAGGTTGGGAACCACTGATGCATAACTGAGCTGATTTTTAATCCAAAAATGTTCTTATGCCAGTCTAAAGAGTGACATGAATATGTTGTAATGTGTAACTGACATGCTTGTGTGTGTGTTCATAGGTGGTTTGCAGGACGGGTGTCAAGACTCGAGGCTGAAAAGCTCCTGCGCTGGCAGGACACCGGCGTGTTCCTGGTGAGGGAAAGTGAGTCAGCTCCTGGAGAGTTTTCTGTCTCTGTTAGGTCAGTGAAGGCACCATGCACGCACACACACACACACACACACACACACAAACACAAGAGACAAGGCTGACACAGATCTGAAGCTGCAGGCTGATGCAACCTTCCTCCGTTGTCTATTCCCACAGTGTGATGTTAATAAGCTCCTAAATGTTTCTGTGCTGTGGTGCAGTGGTTATTTTTACATGTGTTGAATCTGCTGTGATGCTTTTATGTCTTTAATGAACAGAGAGGTGAGCATCTGGCCCCGGGTCTGATCCCAGAAAGACACTTTAACACCTTGCTGACAGCATTTACTGTACAACCGGAAGTGTTGCATGAAACAGGCAGGCAGCAGCATCTCCTCCTTGTGTTGTTTGTGCAGTCGGATGCTTGTTTTCCATCACACTGAGCACATTAGCAAGTTACAACATCCACGTGTCTGTGAGTGTGTGTCAGGACTGGTGGAGGCGAGAGTCAGTCTATTTAAATATGTTATATGAGAACTAGCTGCACCAAAAATAGAACAGCCACACAGTCAGTAAGAGTGTGTGTGTGTGTGTGTGTGCGCGCGTGTGTGAGGAAATGTAATTTGGGTCACCAAAGTGATGTGGGAGTCATTTAATCATTGAGGGTAAATTTAATGTGTTCAATAATCGTGGCATTGCGTAACACCTCTCAGTCTTTAATTAAACACAGGTACATTATGCAATTGACACATGCCACAGACACGCATGTACATACTGTGCACATTTTCATGTTTCAAGACACAACATCTGTCTGCCTGCAGGGGCTGACAGATAAGAGGTTTGCTTTATTCATGCACACACACACTCAACCACTTCACTCCGAGTGTAGTCCTCAGAACGATCAACAGAGGGTGGTCATGTTCAAGAAGAGTTCATAAGATCCTAGCAGATGTGTTTTTATGGCTGTGACCTGCAGCGACTCATTAAAGGAGATTCTTTCAATCCTCATCACGTCTGCAGCTCATGTAGATGACATCATGGCAAACACAACACTGTATTTTGTGAGGTACAAGACAGGTGAACTTACTCTGAACTGTTCAGTCATTATCCATGCCTCCTTTTTCTTTTATCACAGGGTGAACACACATTACTTGGGTCCAAATTCCACACTACAAACTAACTCAAAACATGTTTTTAGAGTGTAGTGTGTTAAAACAGGAAAAATAATGTTTACTTAAGAAAGTCTGTGTGCATACTGTAAGACACGCGTGATTTTTTGAGTGTGCTTTTGAACACTTTTGTCCCACAGCACAAATATGCACAGAGGAAATGGAGGAGCTGCTTACAGATGAATCGTTGGTGCTGGTGAAACAGCTCAAGGAGCACCTTAGAAAAGTTAAAATAACTGGTTTAAAAAAAGGTTTGTTTTCTTTTTTAAGCTTTCAGTGCAAGTGCTTTTCATATATCATACTTTCATATTCAAAGTTTTAAAAGATTCCCAAAGTTAATCACTTTATTTTCACTGTAAATTACAAAATGGTCGGCAGGCCACCCAGCACTCTACTGTGGGCCAGATTCAGCCCTCTGGCCTTAAGTTGAGTATCCCTGCAGTACAGTGTATCCTATATATATTTAATATGTAGTATGGAATTGGGACACAGCAATAGATTTAAAGTCTCTAATCACCTATTTAACCTAACTGCACATCTCTGGACTGTGAGGAAAAAATAAACTGGTGCAGAAACATGCAGACTGTAGACAGAGAGGAGACCTCATGTTGTCAGGAAACCACTGCGCTGATCCAACATTTTACCTAAAACACCACAAAATCCTCCAAACCTGTCATTTCTTAAGCTGACACGCCTCAGTAGTGGTGTTGCCCTCCTTTTTGAGTCATTAAGTGATTATCCTGAGGTGTGTAAGGGAGGAACAAGCTTATGTAACGCAGAGGTGCATTGTGCATGTGTGTTGTGAAGCGTGGGCCTAAATGTAACTTTTGTCCTTAAATAATAATAGACACAAAACAATACAAAAGCAATTACTACCAACAACACAACATAAAATGTTATGTACAAAATGTAGAAGGTGTTGGCTGAAGTTACAGCTCGATATGACTCCTCCTCTTTTATAGTGGAAAACACTATCATGTTATTTTCTTTTGGAACTTAATACGAATATGATGAAATATGTATCACAGCTGATACACGATAGTGTATGTTGTCAAGTATATTACACTCCCAATGTCTATATATTATTATTAGTAGTAGTAGTAGCAGTAGTAGCATTATCATTATTTATTTTTTAATTTTAATTTTTATTTTATCTTATTATTTAGGCTTGCAATGAATGATTATTTTCATTAACTGTTCATCTGCAGACGTTTATTTTTTTTTATGTATTATAGAATAGAAACAATTAATCAGCAACTTGATTCAAAAAAAATTAATCAGACATGATTTTGATAATTTTTTAACCACTGAAGTACATTTTTAGCATAAATGCTAAACTTTCTCCAGTTTCATTTTCTCATTTGTGAGAATCTGTTTGACAAGATAAGGCATCTTCAGATGCCTTAGATGCCTTATCTTGTCAAACAGATTCTCACAAGATAAGATAAGATAAGGCATCTGAAGATGTTGGTTTGGGCTCTGGGCTCCAATTAGTTCAGTACAACCAACATGATTTGCTTTGATTTGACCTCAAAAAGCTTAATTAAGTTGAACTGACTTAATATTTATCCAGAAGTTGTGGTGATGGTTAGTGGTCAAATTACTTTAATACATTCTAACTTTCCATCCAACTCAAAAATGTCAAAAATGTTTTTGATTTCAACCAACTTCTTAAAATTACTTGTCACTTTCATGTACTAACATATTTTCATGCTTGAAAACCTTTCTATTTTAAGCTCCATCAACAACCCCATGAATCATTTTTTAGAGTGTATTGAAATATAAAGTTATCATTTATTATAAACAACCCCATTTTTAAAAAGTTGGGACGCTGCAGAAAATGTAAATAAAAACAGAATGCAATGATTTGCAAATCCTTTTTGACCGTAATTCAAATGAATACAGAACAAAGGCAAGATATTTAATGTTCAAACTGATAAACTTTTTTGTTTTCTACAAATATACACTCAATCTGAATCTCATGGCTGCAGCACGTTCCAAAAAGTTGAGAAACAGGCATGTTCACCACTGTGTTACATCACCTTTCCTTTAACAACATTCAGTAAGCGTTTGCGAGCTGAAGACAATATTTGTTGTAGTTATGAAAGTGAAATTTATTTCCCAAGATTCACAAGAGATCCCCCCAAAATCCTTAAGATTTACGGTCTGTGTGGAAGAATGGGCCAGAGTCCCATCTAAACACAGTGAGAGGTCAGTGTCTTCATACAGGAAACGTCTTGAAGCTGGCATTGTAGACAAAGGCCTCTCCAAGTAACGTGTTCAGTACTTTTTTCCTGTGTCATTCCACTTTATTGCACCTGTGAGAAAAACACCCATGAAGCTTTCAGAGATACACCCACACATGCATTTCCCACACACACACAGGTATGCTCACATCACCTCTGCATGACTTCCTGAACAAAGACACAGGTGAAGGAATGAAGACCGACACGTTACATCATCACACTGTAGGTCGGAGCATAAAGCAGCGTGCATACCTCCCTTTACACTTCTCACCTCTCTTATCTTACAGCTACGGTGAGAGGGTGGAGCATTTCCGAGTGCTAGAGGGGGGCGGTCAGTACTGCATCTGGGATGAGTCGTTTCGCTCCCTCAACCGGCTGGTGGATTTCTATAGAACTCACAGCATAGCTGTGGAGAACGTGGTCTACCTCAAAGACCCCCCTTCGTCCCCTCGCCTGCTGTCCTACTCAGGACATAACCCGTACCCCAACCCGTACAAAAGCAGCTCTCAGGAGTCCCTCCCCTCAGCCCGCCTCTACTCTCACCCCTCTCACCCAGAACGAGAGTCCTCGCGGCGTCCTCTGCCTGATCCAGCTGTGGGGGTATGACGAATCACGCAGCATCATTACTCTTCATCTGTTATTACACACACACCTGTTTGTCTGATGGCTTTGCTCATGTCTTTGTGTAGAAACCTCGCCTGGCTCACGCCCTCTGCAACTACACCCCTCCTCAGACCGCCCACCTCCACTTCCTGCGTGGTGACATCATCGACCTGCTGGACTGCTCAAGCTCTCTGACCTGGAGGGGCCGCTGTCGAGGGCGAGTTGGAATCTTTCCGCCAGAATACGTCCAGCCGCTGTACCACTGACACCATATCAAACTGTATCGCTGACACTTATCCGTGGAGCTGTCGTGACTCACCTCTCTTATCCAATGATCCAACTGCTGATGAAACAATTAGACCAATGATCAATAAGTCCATCGACTATTAACAATTATATGACAATAAACAGCTAAATTAACTGCAACCCAGTCGCCAGAATAAAATATTGGCATTGTATGTTTCTGCAAACCATGGATACAATACGACTGTAACTTTCATACAACATCATATCAACATTTCTAAAGTGATGTAGTTCAGATAACATGTATATGAGCTGAGTTTCCATCAGGGGAAAGAGGGGATGGGATAGTTTGACACCTAGGCAAGATGGCTGCCAAGCAGCAGACCAACAGACAACAAGACTATGTATTTCTAATGAGATGTTGAGACACATACAGTCAAGTTTGCAGTGACAAAATCCAGTATTCTAATGAGACGTTGGGACATTTTCAGCCATCTGTGAGGACCAAACTGTAGCCTGGTGAGACCATCCTGATGACGTGAGCTCAACATTCTGTTTCACCCTCTGTTTCAGTCTGGACTCCGGGCCGCCCTAAACACTTTCCAGAAGTTAAAATCAAACTGGGGCCAATCAGGCTCCACACTGTAGTTGACAACATAAGCAGCCAATCAGGGATTGCGTTGTACTTGATATAAAATGCAGGCCATCGCTTGCTAAACAGTAATGGCGGCTCCAGATGCTACAAGCCTAACTCTAATATTAGTAGAGTAAACACAGCAATAAGTGATGTCATTGCAGACATAGAGTTGATAACAACAATTAAACAAGAACAAGAGTATGCACTTGAAGTTTCCCTGAGGAAAAGACGTTTTTCTTTCCGTTCTTCTGACTGGACTCGTCAAAAACTTGATTTATCAACTGGCTCCACTGGTGATGAAGAAGATGCTCCCGGTGATTTGTCATGTTCATCGGCTGAAGGCGTTTTCTGTCAAGACAAGTACTACTGCCACTGGAAGTGCCTGGGGCCACACTGAGTCCAGAGTCATACAGAGAGCGAAACAAAATGTTGAGCTCACGTCCAACACATTCTCACTCTGACCTCGTCATATGTTGACGTTTTGGTCATGAACTTTCCATGTCCACATACAACGTGCAAGGTGCCCTGGATTCGTTGGTTGTTGACGTTTTCGGACACCTTGTTAAGTTCTCTTCTTTCCAAATATACTCCCATTTTCAGTCTTTTTCAAAATAAACGCACTACGTCAGCACAACACTGCAAATTTATGTTTTTTCTCTTCATCAATAAACACACATGGTTAGGTTTCGGCAACAAAAACAAGTAGTTGGGTTTAGGAAAAAAGAACAGGGTTTGGCTTTAGAATCTTGCGGGACGCGAACAACGCTCTCGTGCGAAGGTCAGTGTTTGTCAGAACCATCCGCCACCTTTCCCACCCGCCGCACTCAGACTTTCGCCGCCGTAACTTTTGTCCTTGTGCTGCCGCGCTTCCCCCTGACGCCAGCTGCCAGCAACTAACCACGTATCATGCTGACGTTACAGGATGCCTTTTTCATTGGTTTCTGACACCACAAGTCACTGCCCAAGTGGCAGATTTCGACGTCTTAGGAGTGAGACCGTGCTCTGTCAACAGGGTGGTTGTTTAGGTGAAACCAGGTATTTTTTACGATACATTGGGCCATTTACAGCCCTGTTCGTGGCAAACTGGATATTTTAATCCAAAACATGGTCCGATCCTCACCCTAACCAAGTGGTTTTGAGCATGAACATAACTACACGTTAACCACAGCGAAGTCACAACATAAAATTAAAAATTGACATGTAAAGAAACATTAAGTTTCAACATATCCATTCATATGAACCACACAAATTCAACATTAGAAACATTCAGATGTGACATATCTGTGGTTTGTAGACGTGCCAACATTTATTCTGGGACAGAGTTGTTAACTGAAAACAAGCTATGTGAAAACAGTATTTTCTGCCATTGGATAATTTTATTTTTTTTGTGTTCCTGTTTCTCTCGGGGCACTTCTCACTGGTTTGAAGTGGGCTGGTTTTAGTGTCACATACTTGCACCAAGCAGGATTTAGCAGCATTTGAACTGGATGACAGTTGATTGTTTGTCTGGTCACTGTCAATCAAGTCTGATTAAAACCACATGTACACAGTCCTTATGAGTTTTTGAGTGTTAAACTTTAAATAATACCTTTTTCAATTTAACTCAGTTGATGTCACTTGTGTCAGCTTCGACTGGGCCTGAAGGTAACAAGTTTGAGGATGAAAAAAATCCCACCAGACTTCCAAAACTCGCCCTTATCTCCGGCTGAGGCTGGTGGCTCGAGGCTACATGAGCACAACTATATCTTCTACCGAACTGTTGGCAGTTCAGTTGCATTGTGGGTAATGTGGGAGCCAGGTTTTGACTTGGAAGAAGAATCTGTGGAATTAAAAAAAAGTCAAGTACTTCTTGTTCTACTGCTTCTACTGCGCCAAATTTGATCTTTTCTAAATCCAAGCCATTGTGAGTTCTATGGAGCTACAGCAGTGACTTTAGGTTTGGCATCAGAAAAGAAATGTGGCATTGAAAACTGAAATATTGAAAAATAAAACACAAGCATTAAAATATGGTATTTTGTTTTGATATATTTACTTTAGTATATTTTTAAGTGTAAAAAAAAGACTGAAAAATCTGAGGACTGACATTGTCATTGCACATTACAACGCAAAAAATATAAAAAATTAAATTATTCTTAATGCCTTTTTTGCTGGAACTTTTTCAGTGCCTATGTTTCCTTTTTTAATACCAAATTGTATGCCCATTGCCGTCACTGTTCTAATGCCACAGTCTGACAGTGTTATAGGAGCGAAATGCTACTACATTGGTGCAGTACTCTTTACCAAGTTTTCTGTGGCTTTAATCATTTAAATCAGTTCAACAATGAAGCAGAAATGCCAGATATTTGCTGTCTCTCACCACTGACATTTGAGGATTTATCACTTTTGTATACCTTATATCATTATTAACAGAATACATCCCCTGAGCCCTAATGTCCTCCTTCAACCAATAGCCTTTATTGAAAATATAAATCAAAAGTGAAATTTTTCCCTTTGTTTTATCTTACCATTTTATCTTTGCCTCTTCACCTCTGTAGTAAATGTAAGTAAACTTTACAGAAGGCAATAAAGAGTTATATTATCTGGTTATAAGTACTGTGTGAACAAACACTTGTAGCTTTGATGCACAAATCTTTACATTTATTTGAGATATTACAAGAAAAAAAAAAACATTTGACGGACAAATTGTCCAGATATTTTGTCTTCTGACTGACATGAGGTTCTTTACATCCAACAATCTTCACTTCTCAGTAGTTCTTAATGAATTTAACCAAAAAAATAAATCAAATGCACACCAACAAGTTATAACAGTCTCCTCTGGTGAATGTCCCTTATGGGAGTCTGTTGTCAAGCAAAAAGGGGTCATAAACAATATTTTCAGCTCTGATACTCTGTCTGATAAATCTAAAATAATAAAAAATAAATGTAAAACCTCTCATTATTTCCACATATTTTGGATTTTCCAACTGCACTCTTGATTACAAAAGACAAACATGTCATATTTCAATTTGAATTTGGGGACCAGAGAAGGTTGAGAAATTCTGATTTATATATATTCATAAACAACCTAAATAGCATGACAGAACTCTACAACAATAACTGAAGGTTCACAAAACCTTTCTTGACAAACATCAGGACATAAACACGACTAAAGAATTACCATTAAGCATACAGACTCAAAGGGAACTATGGAAGAAACACACAACCTAAACTACATAGATTGACTATATCATCTCACCATATATTTTATAAGCTTTAGATCTAAAATGACGTGTGATGCTCTTCTATTTAGATGTCATATTTACCTAGCATTAACGGCACATTCATGTTAGCTTGTTACAAGCCACAAGCTTCATTGTATATTTGTACAATACCCTTCTGAAACTTTAAAACTAGGCTACATCGAAGAGGGCGGAAAGGTTTTATGAACAAACCAACAGCCTCAAGTGGGGCAGTCGTAAAAATAAAACATTATAACATCTGTAGATATACTGTGTGTCTAATGAAATGACTTTAAAAGACAACACTGAGCTCAGTCTGAGCTGCTCAGGATTTTAAGACATTGTGAGATGGAGGTTTTTAAACAGTTCAAAACAACAAAATCTCTGCTATGTGTACCCAATAATTATCTATCATCATGTGTAATTTGATATGAATGTAGATCCAGATGCAGATTAAAAAACTCAACATTGACTTTTTTCTTTAAATAACACATTTAGAGGTTTGTGGTTAGAGGTATGTGATCGCTCTGTGTTTTCTAGTTTTAAATGTGTTTTTTTAACGGCCCCTGAAGCTACATTAGCAGGATTCATGTAAAACCAGTCCAAAAATCACAGTTTATTTCTCCCACCTTCTTGGATCTGGAATTCATGTCGGTGAGATTGGCAGGAGTTCAGCAGAAGGGTGAGACAGGATGTTAAATCTGTTTCTCTACTCAGGCAAAGTAGGCATAGAGGAAAATGTTAATGCTGACCACCAGGAGCGCGTTGGCACAGCAGAACCTGGACCAGAACACGCTCTCTCTGACGCTTTGAGCTCGGGGAGCTGGAATCTCTTCTGACCGCCGTGCTGCTGAGATACACAGTCCTGTCCCCTGACCGCATGTCACCCTCCGTGTTGGCTCAGAGCCTGAAGCACACACACAAACACACAAAGCAGACAGGAAGTTACTCACACATAACTACAGCAGCATGTGTGTGTGTGTGTGTGTGTGTGTGTTTGCATGTGTGCATGTGCGTGTGTGTATGTGTGTGTGTAGATGACTGTTTATCACATGATGGCTGGTTTTATTCCAGAAGTGAGAATATTCAGACCCTTACTCTGGGAGCTACGGTGGCTGACAGAGGACATTTTCTGTAGAGGAATATCTCTCGGTGGCTCTTCAGTCAGAGTCCACCAGGTCAGGTTACACACCTGGGAGAGAAGGACGTGGAAATGTAACAAATGTTATTGATAAGCAATTACATATTGGCACAAATATAACCTATATGTAGAGGCTGAATATGTATTCATGTTGACAACATACTGATGTAAAGGAGGAGTTCAACAGAGAGTCAGATGAAGAGGTCAAAACCACTCTCATGTCTGTATGGTTAAGATTTATAACTGGAGCTAACAGCTTTTAGCTTAGCTTAGCACAAAGTCTGCAATCAGGGGGAAACAGCCCAACACCAAGACATAACATGTTAATTATTTAGCTTCAGAAGTGCTGTTCAGTGGATTTTGTTACACTTGGACAGAGCCAGGCTCGTTGTTTCCTCCTATTTCCAGTCGTAATGCTAAACCAAGCTAACCGGCTGCTGGCTGTACCTTCATATTTAAGAGACAGACATGAGAGTGGCATCAATCTCTTCTTCTAACTCTTGGCAGTAGAGCAAATAAGAGTATTTCCCATAGTGCTGAACTACTTCATTAATGATTCACAGTATTTATTCAAACCCAAAGTGTCACTGACCTTCACCTGCAACATGATACTCAAAGAGACTCACCACAAAGGAACACAAAACAACTACAAAGATGCAAAACAGCTGCAAGGAGACTCACAAAAACAACAGGAACAACAGGAAGTAGGCAAAACAATCACAAAGAGACACAAACACCACAAAGAAACACAAAAAGTTCACAAAGAGACACAAAATGACCACAAACGGACACAAAACACCACAGAGAGACACAAAAAGACCACACAGAGATAAGAAGACTACAAAGAAACACAAACAGCACAATAAGACACAAAATGACCACAAAGAGACACAAAACACTGCAAGGAGACCCAAAATGACCACAGAGAGACATAAAATGACCACAAAGTGACACAAAGAGACACAAAATGACCACAGAGAGACACAAAATGACCACAGAGAGACACAATGGGACCACAGAGAGACACAAAATGACCACAAAGAGACACAAAATGACCACAGAGAGACACAATGGGACCACAGAGAGACACAAAATGACCACAAAGAGATGCAAAATGACCACAGAGAGACACAAAATGCCCACAAAGAGACACAAAATGACCACAGAGACACAAAATGCCCACAAAGAGACACAAAATGACCACAAAGTGACACAAAAAGACCACAAAGAGACACAAAGGGACCACGGAGACACAAAATGCCCACAAAGAGACACAAAATGACCACAGAGAGACACAAAATGCACACAAAGTGACACAAAAAGACCACAAAGAGACACAAAGGGACCACAAAGAGACACAAAATGCCCACAAAGAGACACAAAATGAACACAGAGAGACAAAATGACCACAGAGAGACACAAAATGACCACAGAGAGACACAAAGGGACCACAGAGAGACACAAAATGACCACAGAGAGACAAAATGACCACAGAGAGACACAAAATGACCACAAAGAGACGCAAAATGACCACAGAGAGACACAAAAAGACCACAAAGAGACACAAAATGCCCACAAAGTGACACAAAAAGACCACAAAGAGACACAAAGGGACCACAGAGACACAAAATGCCCACAAAGAGACACAAAGGGACCACAAAGTGACACAAAAAGACCACAAAGAGGCACAAAATGACCACAGAGAGACAGAAAATGACCACAGAGAGACACAAAGGGACCACAAAGAGACAGAAAATGACCACAGAGGGACACAAAGGGACCACAAAGAGACACAAAATGACCACAAAGTGACACAAAAAGACCACAAAGAGACACAAAATGACCACAGAGGGACACAAAGGGACACAAAGAGACACAAAATGACCACAAAGAGACACAAAATGACCACAGAGGGACACAAAATGACCACAGAGAGACACAAAATGACCACAGAGACACAAAGGGACCACAAAGAGACACAAAATGACCACAGAGAGACACAAAACACCACAAAGAGAACAAAAAGACCACAAAAAGACTTTACAGAGATGCAAAACAACTACAAAGAGACTTAAAGTGAACACAAAGAGACACAGAGAGATGTGTAACGACTACAATGAGACACAAAATAACAACAAAAAGAGGCTAAACACAAATGTCTGTGTCTCTTGCTCCTACAGTATGTTGGAAAGATGATGAGGCCATCTGCATGTCTTGGCCTGGGGGCTCTTGTCTCATAATCTGCTTATGTAGGGAGGTTATGGATGACAGTGTGGTGACTGTGCACTATACGGGGAAAGTTAAACAAGTCCGCTCCCTGTTTTCTAGTTTTGACTAATTCTCTTGAAACAGGGTATTTAATCAGAAAGGCTGCTGTTTGCATTTTGAGTTCAGAGTGATGTCAGATGTGACAAATGTGTCACAGGCTTTAAATATGATTAATTTTGTATGTTTTGCTATTGTGTGCAACAGTACGTCTTCTGTACTGTAAGATTTTGCTCTTTGGTCGACTGTTGATCTTCTGGATTTAGACAGGCATGTCCTTTTTGATTGTCTTGTAACACGGAGGTCAACCTCCAGCTCTAATCTGTGCCTTTACCTCCAGTTAAACCCTTCAGCAGATAAAATTAGAGGTGTACCAACAGCAAAATACTGACGTACGCATTACTTCCCTAAAACTTATGTTATTTACTGTATCTGTGTGTACACACCTGTTCGTGGTTGGGAGGTGGTGTGAGCAGCGATACTATAGTAACCACAATAGCAGTGAGCCCACAGAGCAGAATGGCGAAATGGAGGTAGTGGACACTGCGCAGGACTGTAGGCGCCGAGTCCACGACGCCACATCTGGGAGGTGGGAAGGCAAACTCCACCACCATCCTACACACACCCACCACCAAACCCACCATCAGGCCCCAGAATGCACCCTGAAGACACAAGCACACATTCAAACAGATTTCATTACACGAGGCATTCGTGATTTAATATGCTGAACTTCCTGCTGCTGAAGGCATCAGTATGTTGGGTGTGTTCAGGCTCATTAAACTCTCACTTTCCCACCATGATAATCTGTCATTGTCGTGTCACTTAAGTATACACACGTGCTGTGACACAAAAGTCAGCCTTCAGAAAAGAATGTGATCTGTGTGGTTTGAATCAACACACATGAAAATAATCACCTTGTTGCAGCACGCAAAGCAAACATCTGTACCTCTACTTTACTTTTTATCATACTCTCTCTTTCCTCTTTTGTTCCTTACACTCTATAATCCAAACAGTTCTTTCTTTGATTTGTGTCTCTCTCTTTTTGTTGTGAGAGTACCACAAAAAATATTTAATTTAACAGTTATTATTATTGTCATGTAGCCAACTGATGTGGAAAGGTCTGTTTTTCCGGTTTTAGTTCACATAAATCTGAAAAACGTCACACACAGGCCTCTCTCTGTGTATTGTTTTGGAGTCAAATCATAAAATGTACACTTCTAGGATTACTACAAAGGGAGTGATTAATCCAAAGACACCACATGCAAGATATAATGACACTAATTACAGGGTTAATCTGCATTTTTATGAGTTACATTTGCCTCGCTGGTTCAAAGGCTACAACCGTCATGTTCCCGTTTAAATAGGTCTGCATTGTTTGCTCTCTACAGTGTCGAACTAGTCAGCCTGTGCCTCAGCCTGTGTCACATCCTGTGTGGTAACGTGTGCCCTTTGACCCCATGAGTCAACACCATTAAGATTCTCACAGCGATACGCTTGCTGTGTTTATATGAACAAATAAAAAGCTCATGACTTTTATGTAACAGAGCTATTGACCCTTTTCAATAACTTGCTGTAGAGGTATAAAATGAAATGGTACCAGATCAAAAGAAATAAATGGCGGTGACACTTAATACGCCCTACTGTAAGCATGGGTGTGATCTTTGCAGATGTCAAGACATAGGATAAGAAAAGATAAGATGATGATGATTGATTGATTGATTGATTGATTGATTGATTGATTGATGTGAGTTATAACGCTAAGAAGAGTTCTGTTATGATTTGCAGAGTAAAAGGGGATAAGGACCTCGCTCTTCCATCTTTTTACTTGTCAGGACAAGTGCTCCCTGCTTGCTCTAAAACTAAATATCTGGGACACATCATCACTGATGATATGACAGATGATGATGATATGAACAGACAGCGTCGTAGTTTATATATGCAGGCAAATTTGTTGACCAGAAGATTTTCCTGGTGTTCAGAGAAGGTTAAAGTGAGTCTTTTCAGGGCTTACTGCACCCCTTTTTATACTGCGCCCTTGTGGATTAAGTTCAAAAAGGCCAGCATCCGCAAACTTCAGGTTGCGTATAATGATTGTCTG